AATACTGCAGTCACATCAGCTATTCCTACACCCTCTAAATAACATTTTGAAGGATTCATATTTTCTCAACCACCAAAATGAGTCACAGATTAGCAACCAATAACTCATTTGATATTCAATTCTAAGTTCTAACACACAAAAATGCAAAAATAATTTATGCCAACCTCCTCCTCTTCATCGTCCTCATCATCATCACTGACCCATGTTTCTGAACTGGCTAAGCCCTGGAACTTACTCTCGTCACTGTTTGTTGTTGCCTGAATTAAACCATTCATTAATTCAGGTTCCACGTCTCGTAGCAGTCTTCCTAACAAGAATTTAAATCACATAATGCTTAAATAGTTGTACATATAACACACCATATCAAATTTAGATTGGAAAACCTCGGACCTAATTCTGAAGCTGAGTCATCCAATTATAGTACAGTGAACACCACAAGTTGACGACATAAACAATCTCTTCATTGGGAGGATGCGGCCAAAATGACATTTAAATTAATTCGGTATTGGAAATTAGTAAAGCACGCCAGTGAATGAACAGAGGTCTCATTGCCTAAGACATTTACTTGCGTCACTACTAGTTAACAAGAAATACATTGTCACGTAAATGGTCAACATAGATCATTATCCTCCATTCAATTGAATTTATTGCATTCGAACAAAAATGTATAGAAGAGTATAAAAGGATAAACTTAGTCAGCAATGTGGTGGTTTTAAAATGGGATGGGCTAGTTAGTTTCCCATTATGAAGTGTAATGGGGGTGGAGTTAAATATTTGTGGATGGGATATAATTTATAAATTTGTCAATTTTAAGTCTCTTGCATTGGTAGTGCTATAATAATCTTACTATTCGTATACCTATATAACTGAACTGTCTTCGCTTTCCTTTTCGAACATCACGAGTCACGACCCAATCTCTGCAATAAACAAACAAACACCTTAACTTCATGAACCACACAATCCCCCCCCCCCTCCCCAAACCCCCACCCAACAAGTGGGAACAAATAATAAAACATGTGTGCACCAAAAACTTCCAACTTCTCGTTCGAACGACGCCACTTTGCACTCAATAACAAACCAAAGGTTCCATCAAACACACAATGCAGCCATTGTGGATAGTTGATGTTCGTAATTGTGAGAAATGTGGGGAAATGTGGGGAAATTTCGTAAAAAGGCACTTTTTTGGGCTACCTGAGAATACATTTGATTTGAGGGGCAGAGAGCTTCATACCCCGCACTTTTTTTCGTTGCGGCTCTTCTTTGCATTGCCATCAGAGTTACTGTCGCTCTCTGTGGAATCGGAAGGCAATAGAGAATTTGGTAACCTGCGAGCGCGGTGATGGTTGATGGTTGTTGTTCCGATGAGAGGAAGGGAATAATGTGAAGAATAGACGGTGATGGTTGTTGCTGATGAAGAGTAGTGAGGGTGAGGGTGAGGGTAGAAGGTGATGGAATGTTGCGCAACCGAAGCATTGGTAATGCCATCTCGGACCTCGGACGTTGCATTAAAGGCTTCATCAGGCGACCCAAACCAAACAGGGTCAACAAGCCCACATACATAGGTTCAATAAAACCCAAGGGTGGTGGGTGGGCCTTTCCAAAAGCCCAACGGATAATTTAGGTAGTGGAATAAAGAGAATTTTGGAGGGCGATGTTTTTTATGAATTTACTAACGATACCCGAGACTAAAGTCACTGTATACTAAATTATTACACTGTGTATGTATTGAAATGTGTGTTAGAGTGTGTGTATATTTATGCAACTGTGTATTGTGAAGTGTGTGTTGGGTGTATGTGTTAGGTGTGTGAAATTTGGGAGGAAAAATATACCCCTCAAAAGTTTAAGAGTAATGTTATATGAACTTAAAAATTATACTCGATAATTTCAACTATTGATTTTACTGTGGGTCTCAGCATTTATTGGAACTTACTACCTATTCAATGGTTGAGATTATCAAGTCTAATTTTTAAGTATAGTTTTTAAATTCATCTAATATTACTCTAAGTTTAAACTCTCGTCTGTTTTATTATATAAATTTGGTGATAAGTCCATCAAAAAATTTTATTTAATACAAGTCACTATCCGTGCTTAAAGACACTATATAACAAACAAAAAATCTTAAACAATTGTCTAAATTCAAAATGAATGGTCTAAAAATATTCATATCAATTATTCTTTTAAAATGACTCGAAATATATCATTGATTATACCTTTCATATTAATGGAACTATCATAAAAAAATATAAAAACTCCCCAAAATAACATCATATATACAAATGACTCTGGGAAAAAAAAATATATTAACATAACCTATTTAAATTTAAATTTTTCAAGCAATAAATAAAACCTTACTCATTTATATAAGACTCATGAATTTATCACTTCTACTACCACTTAATCTAATAAGACGATATAATTATAAACTCAACCGCTATATTTTCAATCCACCCTATCTTCATATAATAGATACCTCAAGCAAAAAAAAAAAAAATAACATGACATAACATAACACAATTAAATTCACAATCTTTAAGCGATAAATAAAATCAATCAAATTTTGCTCATTTATAAAACTCGTGAATTTATTACCATTCAACCCCAAGTGAAATAACGTAATTATAAATTTAATCACCAAATGTTCAATATTTCACATATAAATATGCATAGAAACACATTCACACACATTTTCATTTTTTGTTACCAACAAACTCACATAACCAATAATTACTTTGATTAGAAATACAATAATTCAAGTTTTTTAGATAAAATAATAATAAATTAATGTTTAATTAAAAAACATTGTAAAAATCACGGACATCCCTTGAGTTTTGACAATATTATACAGACACCTCCTAATATTTTATAAATAGAATGGAGACCTCTTGAGATTTGAATTCAGTGCACGGAGACCCCTATCTCTTTTCTGCCAATGTTGATAACGAAAATTAATAATTTCATCACAAAAAAACATTCTCCAAATTTAGTACCAAAAAAATTAAATATTTAATAAAATCAAATAAAAATTGATTTAGTACCCAAAAAATTGATATAGTTTAGTACTCCAAAAAATTGATTAAATTAATTTCAATATTAATTTGATATTAATTAGACAAAATTGGATAAAATTAAATGTCAATTTTTTATAAAATTATATATTAATGTTTATTTCGTGTTTAATATTATTTGGTATTTATAGTTAATATTCTATTTTTTATTTATATTAGGATGTATTTACAAATTAATAAGCAAGTGATAAAATACATGTCATCATATAAATAAAAACTTTAAATTAGTTTCATAGAATAAATGATTGCATAACATGTAATTTTATCTGTTTTATGGAATAAATAATAACAAAAAAATATAAGAGAAAAAAAAGATAATGATATAAGAGAGAGAGAGTTATATAAAAGATGAGAATTTTAGAGTTGTAAAATGAATAAAAAGTTCAATTATAACCATCGGATCAAAACAATTTAAGTTGCGAAAAGTTCAAGACAAACAATTTAACTATTTATATAGATTAAATTCATTTTGAAATTCATTGTCTAAAATATCTCTAATAGTTATATTTAATTAAAAAAAATTGAAAACTAATAACTCATAAATTTTAAAAATTTGACTAATATTAAAATTTTTTCTCTCATATCTGTCTATATCTATGTATAAATAAGACTATTTATTTATCTCTTTCTCATATATATACATACATACATAAATACATATAGTAACATTAAAAAATAGTAATATTTAAACACAAAATATAGTATAATTTAAATACAAAAGATAGTATCATCTAAATGCAAAAAATTAATAGTAACATTTAAACATAAAAAAAATAATAATCAAAAACAAAAAAATAATAACATTGAGTATTAATATTTGAGAAAATAACAGTAATAAAAGAGAGAGAGAGTATCAGTGGTTCTTTGAATTTGAATTTTAAATTTATGTAAAAAAAATTATTAGCATATCTTCATTGATAAAGAATTAAGAGATAATAATTCTCAAGTCAAGCAATTAATTTAAAGTTACTTTCAATGAAAGATATTTTAGAGTTTAAAAAAAAAGTAAACTTAACTTAGTAAGATAAAATATAAACTTATCTCTAAATACAATTTTTTAATGGATTAAATCCATTATAAGTTCTTTAAATTATTGTTATTAAATTAATTATGAGTCTTGATATTGTTCGAGATTCACTACTAATGAATTGGATTAGGAAATCAAGTTAGTAGTTTATGTCCAACTAAATTTATTGTTTGATAAGAACAGGTGGATCCCACAGATGCGTTAGGATAAAGAATTCCGTGAATGCGGTGATTGAATCGTATTGGTTTTGATAGAAATGAGTAAAATAATCCAATGTTGTACGCCATGTATGGATCTAAACGTGACCGAAGTTTGTATGAAAAGGGTTAATTACACCTTCATCCTTTCATATATGAAAAATAATGCTATCACCTCTTGATGTCCAAAAATAAATCTCAAATTTCATATCCTAAAGCAATTGGGATGGTTGGATGAAACTAATGAGATCCACTTATTCGACTATCCACATTAATTCAAAATGAGGCATTTGAAAATATTTTGAGAAGTATAACATTGTAGGTATTTGAGTGCTTCCCACTCAATTGAAGTTTAAATGAACCAAGACTTTTACTGATTGTCATCTAATGAATAAGATGGTAATGTATCTATTTTGAAAAATTTTATTTACACATAAATTGAGAATCTAATCATAGGATTTCATATTATTTGATTAATAATTAGCTTTATTTAATATTGAAATTCATAATTAATATAATAACTATATTGAATGAGTAATACTTACAAGATTTATACACAACTTAAATAGAATCTAAAAAATTACAACCCAAAATGCATATCATCCCTAGATATGAGAGACTCATCAATTTTTTCAGTGAAATTAATATATCAAACACTTATATAAGGTCATCTAAGGAATGATATGCATTTGAGTTGTAATTTTTAGATTCTATTTAAGTTGTGCAGCATTTTTTATGTGGAATTAGTTCCCCCAATTAAGTCCCATGGTATTATTCATCTGTTTAATCAACATATGCCTACAAGTATGTAAAACTTGAAACACTAAATCCTGCAACTCTTTTATAAGTTTTTGTAATCTTACTTGAATCCATATTGTATTCCCATATAGGCAAGAGACAGAGCATGCTCTGGAAAACGCTGTCTGTTGAATATTACAAATAATTCAAATTTGAACCTTAGCTATCTATATTAATATACAGGATTTGTACATATAACCCATCGAGTTCTAAAATATGGCTAAAACAGTGGTAAATACTACCAACACTGGTCAGTCTCCCAATTCCGGCGAGTATAGCCGGAAAATCCAGAACCCGGCGATGCAATAACAGACGTCGAATATGCAGATCTTGACAACGGTGAACTCATTCGCATTCGTCTCCTGAATAACGTCCGGTCGCAATCGGCTCTTTTCTTGGGATCAGAGAGAGTCGCATAGGCTTTTTGGATCTTCATGAATTCGTCGGCTGACTTGTCCTTTTGAGTGCTCGATGCGACGTCAGGGTGTACGACTCTCGCCAATCTCCGATACGCAGCCTTGATCTCCTGACCAGTGGCGCTCATCTGGATCCCCAGAACTTCATATGGGGATGGCTGCAAAGCAATGCCAGAGCTGGCCCTCTCGGAGATGGTGGCGTATGCTGCGGAAACGCCAGATGGTGGCCGGAATCTGACGCAACTCGGCTGCGATGATGGCGAACTGAGAATAAATTTGGGGCCAACGATCTTAGATGAGAGAGAGGTAGACGAGAAAACCATGACTTGCTGTGCCGGTACACGACTTAGTTGAGTGAAGGATTCAAGCTGATAAACGAAATGTGGATAAGTTCACACCCACCACACACGCATTTATACAGGGAGAAGGGGAGAGAGAGAAGGGGGGTGAGGTGGGGTAGGGTTAGGGATTCTTCATGGTGTATTGCGTGGGTGGATCGACTTAATGCCGACTCAGCAAACCGTCGGTGTCCAGAAGCATTATCCGGGCCGTACTATTTAATTCCTCGGAAGAACAAATAAATAAATAAACTGATGTTTTGACTGTCGGTTTGATCAACTGTACATTATGGATCTGGATCTCTCGCTTATATATTTAAATAAAACATTTTTTAAATGTCATTTGATCTACTTGGAAAAAAATTGGTAAATATCATAATTATTCCTGAATTTTGCCTCTTATTTTAATTTGGTCTCTTCATTCCCAATTTTCTTAATTTTGTCATCAAACAACAATTTTGTCTCAATTAAATAATTCTATTCATTTTTAATATTAAATCAAAATAGAAACATATGATTTAATTTTTAAAATGGATCAGGTTGAACTAGTGTTCAATTGACATAATAGTAAAAATAGATGAAAAATTTTAAATTGAGACAAAGTTGATTGTTTAAGGTACTAAACTGAGACAATTAAAAATTTAGGGCAAAATTTATGGACCAATTATGATATTTACCAAAAAAAAAAAATTATGGGAACATATTTAATTATGTTTACTATATTTATGGGTATTGACCAATTGAAGATATTATTAAACTAATTTTTTTTTCATATAACAAAAAAATTATATATATATATATATATATATATATATATATATATATATATATATATATATATATATATATATATATTTACAATCATTCACCTAATAACAAATATGCATTAAACTCAAAAGTCACTCAACGATGAAGCCTCATATCTCTTTTTAGATTAATCTCTTGTTTGGTAGGAATAATAAAAAGTAGGAGAGATATATTTTCTATTTTTTACAATAAAAGAAATAGTAGAAATGATATACTTCATTTCCTTTATGTTTGGTAAGATCGATAGAAAATACAAATAATAATTTTTTTTTTGCTTAGTAAGATGAAAAACATATATTTTTTTATTTTTTATTTTAATTTTTTAAAAAAATATAAATACATATTTTATCATTATTTAACATATAAAATTAATATATATATATATATAATGTGTATATATTAAATGATATATAAATAAAAAAAATATATTTTAACACAAATAATTCATTTTTTATGTACTTATTAAATATAATATTTTATTTAATTTTTAAAATTTTTTCATGTTACCAAACGAATATAAAAAGGATACAGTGTAATTTGTTGGCGTTAAGGTCCGGCTGAACTAGATAAGTGACTTGTCAATTTGGTCCAAGGACAGTGTCACCGTCCCAGGTTTGTCTTTTATAGAGCTGGCACTTCCGCAGTCAAAAATTTGGTTAAAGTCCAGGAGAGTGCATTGAATTTGCCTCAGAAGGCAGAAGGCCTGGCTGGCTTCTATCTGGGTCGGCAAGGTGAAAACAACAGGTCACATCTGATGCCGGTCCATTTCCCCCCATTAATATGCATATTATTATCCAGTATTACACAACGGCAAATTATATTTTATACTTTAAAAGATTTTAAATTTTTTATTTTAAATTCTCAAAATTAAATTTTTTATATTACACCTTTAATATATCAAAAATATTACAATATAGTCATTTTGTTAGTTTTCTATTAATTTTTTCATTAAATGTTTCATTATACAATTCAAATCTCCTTCAACACAATTTCTTCAATTTTAATCACTCATTGCAAATTTAAGGAGATCCATACATATAAAAAAAATCCCAGTAAATAATAAATAGATAATTAATAATTGAAAGATTAATAAAAGACATTCCAAAAATAACATCGTCCCTCAACAATTGGAGATTTTAGAGTAAATGAAGCATAGGATAACAAAAAGAGAAAATAAAAGATCCGAGTGTACCCTTATCCACTTTGCTATGTGGATAAGGATATATCAAAAAATCCCAGTAAATAAAAAAATAGATAATTAATCATTGAAAGATTAATAAAAGGCATTAGAATTAGAGGGTTTCCAAAAAAACATCACCCCCAGAAAATTGGAAATTTTAGAGTAAATGATGCAAAAGTTGACAAAATAGGTAATAAAAGATCTGACTGTATCCTTATCCATTTTGCCAGATGGCTGGGCCCACACCAGGGATCCATCCAAGTTGGAACCCTCCTCCATGGTCAGTCTCTCATTTGGGGCCCACTCAATTTGTCGTCCTTGTAAGATTTTGTTTTTTGGGAGGCCTTCTATTTTTCCCTGGAAAAAATCAAAAATTGAATCGCTAATTTCACATCTACAAACTGCATACTTGGTTTTAAATTTAAAAAAATTTGAGCTCATCAATGATTTAGACCTAAGCCAATACAAAATTTTAAATTTTAAACTACTCTAATAAGGATAGATACCTAAGATCTTAAACCCTGAGCTCAGGTCCAATAATCAACCCGCAAAAAAATTTGTCTTGTTTTTACCGATCTTTTCATAAATTTTTTTCCTAAACTATCAATGTGGGATTCACCTACTTATAATTGTTATCATCTAACACACGGTTAAACTACAAATGTGGAACAAAAATTTTAATCATTTTTTTTTTTTTTTACCACTAATAAATAATCTTATTTCTCATTTTTTAATGCTCTAAGTAATATTCTCGTTCTTAACTTTTTTTTTTGAATTTTTTTGCTTTCCCTTATGTACTCCCACTCTCGCTTTAGCTTTCGCTTCCGCCCCGATTTATGTCATGTAGAGTAGGAGTCCATGGAAGTTCAAAGTATTGTTTTATCAACATAATCAAATTTAAATTAGAATCAAATAAAAATTTCACCGATTAACATCTTTAAGTTCATTGTGCGAAGATAAGTAATCAAGTACATCCAATGTCATGGACATCGATTATGATAGGTCAACATAATTGTGCGTGCAGGATCTTGCACAATATAAACACGAGACACAGATTTCTCCTGTGGTGAACTCGAGTCAATCAATTGAATGGTTAACCTTGTTGCTTGGAACAGACTGTGAAGTTCGATGGTGGCCTGGAACGATAATGGGTGATTTTCATGGATCAACGGAGCGGTCTAGTAAGACTGAGAGAGCTTCCTGGAACAGAAAAAAATGAGTTAGGAGGGCGCTGGAGTGTTTTTCGACGTATCCCCTCCGACAATCAAGTCAGTTCTTTGAGAGAGGGGAGGAGAAAACACTGTATTTCTTTGAGAAAAATTTTTTTGTTGCCTACCGTCTTGCCTTTTATGAGGAGTATTTATATTTCAAAAATTTATGATTGCTGTTAGTGTGGTCAGTAGATGATCATTAGATACGGGCAACGTGCGCACTAATTCTTATGAGGAATGTCTTCTCTCTTAACTGCTCAGGACTCCGAGCAACCAATGCTTCGTCATCAGCCTGCCGAATGTTTAATGAGCTTCTCTCGGCAAGGATGTAATAAATGCCCAGTCATAGGAACATTTATTGCCTTTCACTTCCGAGTCTTCCTGTATTAAATGATGTCTCATTAAGGGAATGGTGCACTAAATGCTTGCTTTCCCAAATCATGTGTCAGCAAGGGCATCTTGGTCTTTTTGTCTCTGATCTGACACAATATGCCACGCACCTATTCTCCATTGGTTGTGTATTTTGCCTTCTTGTGCCTTCTGACACCAATTGTGTAAGACGAGATTATGATGACTAACCTAGCCTAGCTTAGGCTAGTCACCTGTACATCAATAGCCTCTGCAGGAGCAGAGGACGTCATCCTGGACGGGTACATCTCGGTACCGAGGGGAGTGGTACATGTAGGAACCGACGTACCCCATATTCGACCGAGGGATACGTGTCGGTACGTAAACGTATTGGGTGTCATTGATCCCTATGAACAGTATCTCGGGGGAAAAGGGACTTGTAAACCGACGAGTACGTGTTGTGATCACTGTAACAAGAATTTACTGATGCCGAGGACAGATGTCTTCATCTTGAAGTATTTGGAAATGTCTCATCAACTGCCCCCAGCCTTCGATCTCCTGACACCGAGGACACGCGTCGTAAGGAGACGAAGGGTTCTGCAACTACCCCAACTACTTCATCATTGCCTCTAGCTGCTTTCTCCTGCTTAGGAAGTCGTGCGCATTAAATGCGCCTCTTCGTGCTTCGTGTCCAAATGATGGGGATGAGTACTATATAAACGGGCTTCCTCTCTCCCTCTTTCATTTCGCCATTTCGATCTTCTTCAAAGATCCCTTGCCTGAAACCTCGCTGGAGATCCCTATGACAAGAGGGGAGACAACTTCTACCCGACGTGGGATAGAGGTAAATGCTACTGTATTGCCTTAGAAAATGGTGCAGGCCAATCAGGATCCTTGGTGTTCAAGGATGAGATCCGAACGCATAATTTCTAACCCTAACAACAATGAAGGAAGGTGAAATTCGAGATGCCAGGATACAGAGTAATAGTGATATCTAAGGCAAGGATTGTAGATAAGAATAAAGAAGGTGGGACCAGACAAGATCTCACCCCACCCATCCATGAGGTGGAAAGGGTCTGTTCTTTAAAGTCTGTGATTAGTGGAATCATGTGATAGACTACATATCCCACATCGGAAAGCATTCAGAGATATAATGTGGTGTAGCCACTATAAAATGGTGTCGTTTGGCCGCTAATCAGGCGTGATCCTTCAGGCAGTTTTGACGGGATGTGATGAGTGGTAAATAATCGCACAAAATATGCGATATGGGTGTCCGCCCCAAGCCTGGTTACGACAAGCTGGGCACTCCCTTTTAAACTATTCTGATCCCTGTTGTAAAGCACTTCAAATGGTGTTTTGTCAGCCATTCAGGTTGGATTGATAGATGTTGTTAATTTTTAAAGAGATTTTAATCCTTGTAATAAGTTGGATTAATTGAGCTTACTAATTTTTGCAGTTGGATTTTGATTTTATTGGTTTTCGAAATAGATAAATGCCATGTGATGAAAATAATTATTAGTCTAAGAACTAGAAATTGTATTATGGACATAAAAAAAAAAATTTAAGTTAGACAAACCAATAAAACGAGAGTTCTCTTTCTCTCTCTTTTTTTTTTAGAATTTGGGTCAATTGTTTACATAAACAAATTTTGTTTAATATTTTTTTCAATTTGGTTAAAAATAGATTTTTTTTATGACTTAAATTAAAAGAATTGTTAAAATTTTAATTTAAATATTTGAATTTACAACTCTTTCTTATTATCGTTTAAATTATCTGTTGAGATTAATGAGAGCTCTCTTTTGAAATCCCATATTTGTATGTCTCATTAAAGCCCCAAAATGTTGGAATGCATGACTTTGCTATATGATTGACTAATATCTTTTTAGTTGAAAGAAAAATTTATAAAATAAATTTTAAACTAATAAGACTTCATGATATAGAAGTGAGGATGTAAATATAGTTGTGTGATAAAATAAAAAAAAATTAAAAAAAATTATATTTGTAAGATTATAATTAAAAATATAAATTTTATATTTGTAACATTAATTTATATAATAAAATAGTTTACAATTCAAATCTCAAAAGATAAACAAAATGACTTTTACTATTCGCGGTTGAGATCGTTTTAAATTTTGTTTTAAAGTTAATCTAATGACTAATATTAACACCTTAAATTTAATAGAAAAAATAGCTCCCATAAGGATGTATTTGAAATAACATTTTAAAAGTACTTTTAAGAATTATTTTTCATAAATACTTAAAAAAAAAGTGTTTGAAATCGCCCTACCATTACCCCCTATCATTATCGTCGTTTCTGCCACCACCATTATCGCCGTCGCCGCCACCACCGTCGTCGTCGCTGCCACTACCATCGCCGTCGTCACCACCATCACTGTCACTGCCACTATCGTCGTCACCACCACCACTATCATCATCACCACCACCACCATCGGTGCCACCTTTGCTACTGCCACGGTCATTGTCACTCATCATAAACATTATCGTCTCCTACCACCACCACTGTTGCCCACCACCTCTTACTCCCACTACAAAATCGATACTTAAATTTTTTTATATTTTCTCTATGTGTGTGATTTAAATTTTGATATGAATACAAATATGTTTATTGTTTATCATTTTTTTATTACTTTGTACCTTCAATCACATGCAATAAACTAGTTTATATAATAAAAAACTTACAATTTAAATTTTAAAAAATAAACAAAATGACTTTTGTTTTCGCAGTTTAAATCACTTTAAATTTTACTTTAAAGTTTATCTAACGACTAATATTAACACCCTAAATTTAATAAAAAAAATATGTAGCTAAGGATATGTTTGGAATGACTTTTTAAAAATACTTGTAGAAATTATTTCTCATAAGTACTTTAAAAAAAAATAGTGTTTAAAACCGTCTTACCACTACTGCTACCGCCACCACCACCCCCTACCATTACCTTTACCACCATCGCCATCGCCACCGCCACCAACGTCGTCGCTATCGCCACTGCCACCACGGTCATTATTACCCACCGCAACCATTACCGTCTCCTATCATCACTACCGTCGTCCATCACCTCTCACTCTACACTGCAAAATCGATACTTAAATTCATTTATTTTTTCTCTATGTTTGTCATTTGATTTTGAATATGAATAAAAATATGTTTATTGTTTACAATTTTTTATTATTCTGTACCTTCTAGCACATACAATAATTAGTCTTTAATAAATTAGGAGAAACTTGATTGATTTAGATATACAAAGCATTCTTGAACCACCCCTCCGAGGCTCCTTTAGTAAAAGCTTAAATAGGACCACCTCATTGGGCCTGGCAAACCAGAAACATTGTCGCACAAACGCATCCATTGGTTGCCTGCTGGTTACCACACGTTGGGTTGGACCATTTTCAGACCAATGGGCTTTTGTGCTAACAGTCCAGCCCATAAGCCATGGACCTTTCACCAACCCTTATTCACATCTAGTTGTCTACTTGACGCCCTTTCCCTCGACACGTATGCACACTCTCTCTCCTGGCTCCTTATTTCGAGTAGTTAAACTCTTCTTTCACATCTCACTGCACACGTTGGACTTCTCGGCAAGAACTCTCTCTGAAGCGACTATGGCGATCGACAGTATACCTCCGCTAATCGGAGCACAGCTCAATTATCTTCTCAGTCATTCTCATATCTCTATCAAGGTAGTAATCCTCATACAACTTTTAGTTAGGCTGTCATTGAAATGTATGTGAATTAGTTTGTCAATTCAACTTTTTGGAAAGTGTAGAGTAGAAATTGTACTTATCATATTCTAAAATTTTCAGAGATTATGATCCTTATAAATGTCAAACCCCGCTGTTTTCAGGTTGAGCAGATTTGGTCTGGTTCTAGAAACCCTGGTTTGCTTGATCGCTTCACTTTGGTGATCCCCTTTTGTCTCGACTACATCAAATGTCAGTATACGCACATTCACACGAATGCAATTTCTTTCTGATTTTCTAAGCTGAGATTGAATTTTTCGGTGACTTAATTATAGGGGATGTTATATATAATGCAATGTATCCATTGGCGGCACCAGATATAATCTTTGGACCCGAGGATGAAAGCTTTCGTCCATTTCCTATGCTCACTGAAGAAGTTGTTCAAAGTCATCGAAAAGTAGTTTGTCTGATTGGAATAACAAAGACCCAACTAAGTTGTTGTGTCTTATTCTTGAGCTTAGGTAAAGAGTTTTCTATGTTTTGCTTTGCTGAAGTTTATTTGGTTTAAGAGCTTGGTACCATCTAAAAGGCTTGACTTATAAGTGAATAAGGGTATGGTTTCCTTCCTTCATAGGGATTTGTATATGGCGTACCATAGGAAGCGCGTTGGAAAAGTTGATGATGACCGATTGAAATTCGAAATAAGCACTATTTTTTCAAGAGAGGTAGGCTTTTGATTATTGCTAACATTGTTTCGGGGGTAAATACTGAAGAAGTGTAGAGGTTATAAATTGTAAATGTTCTAAGCAGGATTGTGGTCTCTGCTTTTGGTAGACATTATGTCAATGCTCAAGTAGAGTGCTTGTTTGTCATTTCGAAAAGTGTCTGTAAAATCTATCACAGTGCCTCAAGATTGATTATAGGTAATGATGATAAAGTAAATGCTTTGCCTTCATATATGTTGTACAAAGGATTGCAGTCACACTTAAACATTATGACCTGATTATGAAATTATTCGCTTGAAGTTGCCTCAAGTGGCTGTATATTTTAGGGATTCCACTGTGATACTGAGAATGGAGATGATCAAGCAATAGAGTGAGTGAACCTGGGGCACTGGCTACAGGGAATAATAAATGTGTTTTCGTCCACCATTTGCTAGCGTTGGTACACATCAATTGACTGGAACTCAGGATATGAAGTTGTGCAACATTGTATTGATGTTAGTATTTTAACCTCAGGAACATTGAATATGATGGCCAAATTTAAGTTATTTTTGTTAGTTAGTGATATATGTGGCTTATCCTTGAATATTTTTATGTTTATCTGCCAATTCTTCCATGTTTTGTGGAACTAATAAATAGGCATTTTTTGTCCTTGGAAGCATGTGGTTTTCATGCATGTTTATAACTTGATTTCCCATTACCTGGAAAAATGGATACGAACTTAATTGATGCGATGTTCATTTTGTTCATCTCTTAAAGTCTCTCAACCCTGGGTTTTCCCCTTGTTGAATCCATATCTCTAAGCATATTAGTATTATCTATAAAAGTTTATCTATTGATGTGCAGGGAATTGAAATGTATATGAGCTCAGGTGTCGACAAGGTATTTCTTTACAAGGAGCATGCTCACACTTGACTATATCATTTTTTTTTGTATAGAAGAAGCAACTGTAAATCACCATTTAGTTTGACTATGTTACTGGCTTCTTTGCCGTAGCAGGAAGAAGTAAAATTCTCTGTGCCTTTATTGGATATGGATATAAATAAAATGGTCATTGGGTGCACATGGCGGCATCAGCAGAAGATATTCCTACAGGTTTGATTTTCAAGTAATATTGTTCAGGACAAATAATTTGTACCTCTGTGGACACTTATCAACACATGTAGAAACTGCAATATTGACAAAGAATGTAACCTCACAAAAAGAAGATAAGATCCCTTGATGAAAAGCCTACTTTTTTTTCCTTTCTTTTTTACCCCTTATAATTTTTTTTGGGGTCAGTGCTGAACAAGCCAACTTGAACTGTACAAGGGAAAAATGGAGAGAGAATATCAGTGAAACAAAACTTGGGTGTAATGGAAGATGCAAGTGGAGAGGCTTTTCCTCATATTTCTCTCTCTCTCTCTCTCTCTGTTTTTTAGAAAAATTCACGGAGAAGAAATGGAAGTGAAAAATCTTCATCAGATTTGTATGGTTTTTTCTTCACTTCGGTAGCAGGAAAACTTCATTTGCATACTTTTATTGAAAGCCACAATCCTATTTTCTTTAGACCGGCTCAACATGCAATTCCGAGATTTTGTTTAAATTCAAGAACAGGGGCATCTGTTTCCCCTCTAGCATCTTCTTAAATCCTGAAATAACTATTATTTTTCAAAAAACCAGACTTGAGGATTTGTCTTCCACAGCTGTAGGACTGCACACTAATCCAGTTGTTCAATCTTTTTACTCTTCTATTATGTATTTCACTTCCCCCGTTTTCTTAAGTGGATTCCGTAATGGATGCAGGTTATATTTCCCATCGGAAAAAAATATCTAGTGGCTCCTTCAGCTCCACGATTAAAATTGGTTTCTTCTCCTGAATTGAAGGCTCTCTTTCCCATTGAAGAGTTCAGGCTTCCTCCATGGTTGAATGGGATGTAAGTTTTGATTAGTATTCTGCTTACACGCACCATATAGCCTCCCAGAGCCCCCAATTCCTTGTTTCAAGGCGCTGTATGTTGGTTGCGATGACAAATCCTAATGGTGTTTTGCTTTTCCTCCGAAGGTGCATGGCTGAATATCTTCCCACTTTAGAAGAGATGCTTGAGTCTCAGGTTAGCTGTCTTATAAATGAAGTTCAGTTCTTGATTCAAAAAAAAAAAAAAGAAGTTTGGTTTTTCGTGTTGGCATAATTTTTCCATCTCTTTTCCTACTTCTTTTTCTACAGATTGGAGATGCAGTTTCATCCATTGAAGTAAGGAGGAAGTTTATAGTGGCTTTAGCTCCCCTCTTTGGAAGGCCCGTAGAAGCTGATCCAGTATGCATCCTTCAGATTTTACGTGACTTCATGTGAGTTTTGACCACTTACACAAAATGCTAAGCTCTCCCACTGCTTGCCAGGTTTTCTGCAGAAAGGCAACATTTCTAGCTGCCTCTGGGGTGTTCATATTTCTGGTACGATATGGTCCTGAGTACTCTATAAACAAATTTGGGTTTCACGCTACTACTAAGTCAACACCTAGATATTATGAGACTCTTGTTACTGTAGGTGCATTTTTCCCTTCCAGTTCAGTTCCCGAAGCAACGACCTCTTTTGATGCTCCAAAGTTCTCAGGTTATGAAAAGTCCCCCCCCCCCCAAAAAAAAAAAAAAGCAAGCACGCACACACTTACTCACGCACACTCCTCTAAGGTCCTAAACATGCATATGTATAGAAATGTGTGGGTGCATGTATGTTTATTTAGAGAAAGTGAGGTTAGTTATTGCATATTGTTGAGGAAAAAAAAGTTAATGCATATTATAGAGGGAGTTAGTTCCCTGGTGGGGTTGTAGACCCTAAGAGAAGGTTCTCTCTCTCTCTCTCTCTCTCTCTCACACACACACACACACACACACACACACATGCTAATAACTTGCGATAGAATAGAATACAGATAAATAAATGGGTAAGGTAGCTCCAAAGTCGTTAAGCATACATTGGTGGTATGCTCTGAGGGAGTACTAGGACTTATTAGTGAACCTTCTAGAGAGACATCAGTACCAGTTATGGATGGTTTGGTTCTCATCAATCGACTCCACCATGACTCCCAAATTGTGGTCATCGCCCCACTGTGTGTTGCTGGTGGTTGTATATTGTTGGATGAAGTGTCTTTTTTTTCCATCATTTTGCGCCACTTTGAACTAGGTTATATGAGTTCTGACCCAAAAAAAAAAAAAAAGAACTAGGTTATCTGAATCATTCCTTTACTGAGCAGGGTTTTCCTTTTTATTTTTCAAACAAAGCAGCACTTCAGCAGCCATGGTGCACCCATTAAATCACCTCTCTTGACTGAATATCTATGGAGTCCAAGATGGGAAGCATCGGAAATGGCCACGCGGGTCTGGTAAGTTCTTCGTTAATTTTTTTTGTGGTTTTGGATGATCATTTAATGCCCTAATTTTTGTGCTGCGAATTACTTTGGCAGTGATATTCTCATGGAAGAATGTTTGAGCTTCAAGAAGTACTGCAATGAGAATATTCTTCCGTAACTCTAGTGTCTGTATATGCTTTTTAACTTCTGTGGAGTTTTTGTATCTATGTTTTTTGTGAAATATGTTATTGCTCTTCGCTTTAATTGTCGATTGCTGCATCAGATCTGGTTTGAGTGTACAGAGGCAATGTTGAAAAACATATTTGGTTAGCATAATACTTGGTCCGATCATGGAAAGCATTTCTTTAATGTCTCTTGCTACTCTTAGATTAGGGTTGTTGGAATTTGTTCTATCCCATAAATTTTTGGTATTTGGACAAATTCTCACGGTTGAATATAATTTAAAGAAATGAAACCTGTTTAGTTAGTGATCAAATAAGGAGCCAAACATAACTTGTATATTCTGAGTTTGAGTTGTTTTCATCGTATAAAATTTATGTTATGAACAACAGGCAACTTGTCTAATATTTATTTGATTAGACGGAAAAACCAGATAGTCCAATAAGTTCAAGTTTACCCGCCATTTCCTAAAAGGGCCTTGATTATTTTCCATTAGAACTGAGATGTTATAATTTTGAATTTTGATAATCTTTTAGAGTTAGATCACTCTTTATGAATACACAAGTATTGGCATTGATGGTTTATCTTTAATCGGACTAGAGAAATGATTAATTAATTTGTGCGTAAGTTGTTTCGGATACTTTTGACAGTTGAAAATAGGAGCAAAAAGGGTTCGGTAATTGTTGAAATATAATGGATTTTTGGTCGAATGGTATTTCTTGAGGTCAATGGATTAAATTTTTTTTCTTCCTCCTTTTCCCCCCAAAAAAAAAAATTGTTGAAATCGGGCCAAACCCAAATGACATTTGACTGACTCCTGCACCTTGCCAATTAATGGTTGTTATAGTCCAATAAGTTCAAATTTATCCACCAGTTCCCAAAAGGCCTCGGTGATTTTTTAGTTAAAAATAAGGAGAATTAAGATGTTCTGATTTTGAATTTTAATAATTTTTTAGAGTTAGATCATCTCTCATGAATAATGTAGTTTTGATGTAGATAGTTTGTTTATTATTAGACTAAAGAGAGGATTAGTTAAATTACATCTGAATATTCTAAAACTTTGAAAATAGGATAAAAAAATTGTTCGGTAACAGTTTAAATTGGGCCAAAGCCCAAATGACATTGGGTTGACACTGGACCTTGCCTATTGATGGTTGTCCAAAGCCAAGCCGACAACCCCCAACCGTAAAAAACGTGAAAACTAACTAGTAAATTAAACTGAAAATGCCGAAATAAATGCACCAAACAGACGTCGGTGCGCACGTGGGACCCACCCCCTTAACGTGCAAACCCTCTCTGTCCAGCAGTTAAATTGTCCGTATTCCCGCTCTCACCCAATCACTCATCCCAAACCCCTCTATCTGTCTGTCTGTCTGTCTCTTCTCTCGTTTCTCTCTCATAATTTCCCTCTGTACAGTTCCCATTTCTGTCAAACCAAAATAGATCTGAATCTGAACATCAAGAACCAACAATGAGAGAGATCTTGCATGTTCAAGGAGGACAATGTGGTAACCAAATCGGATCCAAATTCTGGGAAGTGATCTGCGACGAGCACGGCGTTGATTCAACCGGTCGTTACAAAGGCGATGGATCTTCCGATCTTCAACTGGAGAGGATCAATGTCTATTTCAATGAAGCTTCCGGTGGACGATACGTTCCTAGGGCCGTTCTTATGGATCTTGAGCCTGGGACCATGGACAGCATCAGATCCGGGCCCTACGGCCAGATCTTTCGCCCCGATAACTTCGTCTTTGGACAGTCCGGTGCCGGAAATAATTGGGCCAAAGGTCATTACACTGAAGGAGCGGAACTGATTGATTCTGTTCTTGATGTTGTTCGCAAGGAGGCTGAGAATTGTGATTGTTTGCAAGGTAAATATTGTTTATATTCACATTTTTCATATGTAGACACAGACTGGCACAATCATGTACGATTATTCATACAGTATAATCCATATATATACTGTATGCTTATGTGGATCTATGCAATGCGTGTTGATTTGGTTCAGTAATTGTTTGGTTTGGATTGTTTGCTTGAGCCTTGAGGTTATTTAGTGTAGACCGAGTTTTGATGCGAATGTTCATGACAAGAGTTATCTGATTCTGTTATTGCTTTGAAATTTTGTCACACTATGATAGTAGTGAGGTGATTGGTTCAATCTTCACTTGCAATACATGTGCAATTTTTTGAGAGTGTGTGCGTGTCCGTTTGTGTCTTTTTAAGTTTCAATTTATGTTTGATTTGAACTTGCTGTAGTGAAAATTGTATACTATTAGTTTTCCATGATGTCATGTACTCTTTATGTTTTGACACAAAGGCATGCCATATACGTTGTTAGAGTCTTATTTTTCTATGATTGAATTTTGATGTATGTTTTTTGTATGAAGAAATGATTAAGAGTTCGTGATTCTGATGGTGTATTTGTTCCCTATTTTAACAACATATTGGATGTATGATCACTCCAATGAACATTTACCTAAATAAGTCTCACTTGTGAAGACACAGATTTATATGCTAACTGGACGATTTCTTGGAATGCTGTGTTCTGAGAGATTGAGTTACCTATGCTATGGGTCGTGAAAATTTTTCAAACTAGAGAAGATTTACAATTTTTTGGATACAAAACTGCTTTACCTTATCTTTTGAATTCATAATGATGCCAAAAAAATACCAAGTGGCTCAGAAGTCACCTGTACGGGTTTTTTTTCCCTGCTTATTAAGTTGGATTATTTTATATGATGATCCTGAATTTGGAATATGGATGACCTTTGCTGGAGAAGCAAAAGATAGTGCTCTCCTGGTGGGATTCAGCCTTTGCAACTTGCAGGAAATGAGGAAGTAACTTATTCTACATGTTGGTTCTTGTTTGATAATCACACCTTTACAGTGAAGTTTAATTTGTTCTATGTTAGTATAAATATGTTGTTTGTTATTGCTCTGGATTTTAGGGCCAAATCTGATAGAAACGTTAAAATTTTCAATTATTTAGTGTATACATTAGGCTGTGGAAAATTGTTGGTATGTTAAAATATGATGTTGATAAGAGTGCACGCCTGATAAATTATTACTAGGCCCTCTTTTGTATCAAAAGTGAAGAAACTTGAGGTGATAAGCATCATATTCTCCATTTTGGACCCATAAGGTAATAAGAAAGATTATTAATGTTGGCACTGGTTTTGATTGCTCTACCACTTAATATTCAGTTGCACCAATTCCTACTTCTTAATTGTGGTAACTATGTTTCATAAAGGAAATGTCTACATATTTAATTGTGGGTGTTTTACAAGGACCAATAGGAGTGGACCCTATTACAGATTTCCTGGCGATGTTTTTCTCACTTTAGAGCTAATTTGGCTTGTTATTCCTGTTGCTCTTGTGAATGGGGCAGGTTTCCAGGTGTGTCACTCACTTGGAGGAGGCACGGGTTCGGGCATGGGCACCCTTTTGATTTCAAAGATAAGGGAGGAATACCCGGACAGAATGATGCTCACATTCTCCGTTTTCCCCTCACCAAAGGTTTCTGACACAGTTGTAGAACCTTACAATGCCACCCTCTCTGTGCACCAGTTGGTGGAGAATGCTGATGAATGCATGGTCCTTGACAATGAAGCACTCTACGATATTTGTTTTAGGACCTTGAAGCTTAGCACTCCAAGCTGTGAGTATATATTTACTTCCAGGATAGTTATTACTAAATGTCAGCATTTTAGTGATTACTTTAAGTCATACTTTTGTATCGTTGCTTTACAGTTGGTGATCTGAATCATTTGATCTCTGCGACGATGAGTGGTGTAACATGCTGCCTGAGATTTCCTGGTCAGTTGAACTCAGACCTGCGGAAGCTGGCTGTGAATCTGATCCCATTTCCACGTCTTCATTTTTTCATGGTGGGTTTTGCACCACTTACCTCTCGTGGATCTCAGCAATACATCTCCCTCACTGTCCCAGAACTGACTCAGCAAATGTGGGATGCTAAGAACATGATGTGTGCGGCTGATCCTCGTCATGGACGCTATCTGACAGCCTCCGCCATGTTCAGGGGGAAAATGAGCACAAAAGAGGTGGATGAACAGATGATCAATGTGCAGAATAAGAACTCATCGTACTTTGTGGAGTGGATCCCCAACAATGTGAAGTCGAGTGTGTGTGATATCCCCCCAACCGGCCTGAAGATGGCATCGACATTTGTGGGAAATTCCACGTCAATCCAAGAGATGTTCAGGAGAGTAAGCGAGCAGTTCACAGCCATGTTTAGGCGCAAGGCCTTTTTGCACTGGTACACTGGAGAAGGGATGGATGAAATGGAGTTTACAGAGGCAGAGAGCAACATGAATGATTTGGTGGCAGAGTACCAGCAATATCAGGATGCCACTGCAGATGAGGAGGAGGACTATGAAGAGGATGGTGCCGATGAGCAGCAATATGAAAACTAAACCTCAACTGGCAACTACCAAAGAAAAATAAGTAATGTTTAATGTCGAGCATTGTTGGTTTGCTTTTTGCTCTATATTTTCTGCGTTCTGTACTTTCAGCTTATCTGTTTGAATCTCATGTCTGAACTTTCATCTTATTTGTTTGAATGTCATGTCTGAACTTTCAGCTTATTTGTTCGTTATTGTTTGAATCTTCTGTTCCTTTATATCATTTGGTGCTTGTTTTAGCATTTGAGTAAAGAGTATTCCAAGTTTTACAACTACTTTGCAGAAAGTAATATTTTTCTACATTTTGCTTTTCTGTTTCTTTTCCCTTTCTCTTTTTTGTCTTTCCTGCTTGGGTGAGCCTGCAGCCTGCTAATGTTTATATTTCAAGTTTATAACTTAGACCAGGGATGTCTAGATGATACATATACCGAGCGTCACAACAATTCCAAATTGTATGTTTAATTGGTATTTATTTGAAGAGACAGTATAATATAAAAGTAGAACACCTCAAAGAATCGAGTCCTATTATATTATATATTAAATTGTGACAATCATTTTTTTTTTTAAAATGGACAATATCTGTGCCTGAAAATATTGTGAAACACAAAATCGAACATTAATCATGTAATATATATATTTTTAATAACATACAAATATTTGAAGTAGTTACGCCATTTTAAATCAATGTAGACCCAAAAAAAATTGATAGAGTTTATTTTAAAAATAGAATATAAAAAATATCAACTTGTGTACATAATTTATCGAATGACTAAGAAATATATAAATTTAAAGAAAATACGACCTAACTCAATATTGGATTCAATATCACGCTCCAATTCTACCTTAACAAAATTATTTAGTAACGACATAATAATATCAACTATGTATTTGACTGATATTCTTTAATCGACCCATTCTTTTGAAATTAATCGTTAATTAAGATTCCACTAATATTCATTTTCACAAAATATCGCATGATGTGTGGGCCAAGCTATTTAGCTGAGAATTTTTTGGCTGTGGGTATAATTTTTTAAACTTATTTGAGGAAAAAAGTATATATAAGTTGTTTACTCTATTAAGTTCAATTTTAATAAAACATATTGTGTTCAGATACAAAATTAAAAAGATATCAAAACTTTTTTACCTAAATATCCTCCCTTAAATTATGCATTCGTGGTTGCCAGTTATATATCTAATCAAATATGTAAAGATTTCATTGAACTCTTTCGTTATCTCTCCCCATTACTTTCCTCATCTCTCCCCTATCTTTTCTCTCTATCTATCATTGATAATTTATTTTCTTTTCAAATATATAAATATTTAATTTATTTTTCCATCTCTCTCCCCTATTTTCTCTCTCTCTCCTCTCTCTATTTATATCAATATTACAATAACACAATTACATTAATCAGTTACAATTATCTTATAATATACCAAACAGTTACATCAAATAATTACACAAAATTAATACCTCAACCCAATTTGTCATTTAGTTGTTTACATAAACTAAATAGTTGCACCATTTAGTATCGCGATATCGTTACATCAATTATATATACCAAGTTTAGTATAATGGTAAAGTCTTTTGTGCAATGATAAATCCAACTTGGTGTATATAATTGGTGTAATCATGTTGTGATACTAAATGATATTTTTTTAATTTATGTAAATAATTGAATGACAAATTGGGTTGATGTTATAATTTCGTATAATTGTTTAGTATAATTGTTTGGTATATTATATGGTAATTGTAATTAATTGGTGTAACTGATTAGTGTATTTGTATTGTTGTAACATTGATATAAGGAAATAAGGAGAAAAGAGAGTAAGAGAGAAAAAAAAATAGGGGGAGAGAGATAAAAAAATTAAATTAAATCTTTATATATTTAAAAAAAAATTATCAATGTGAGAGAAACAGAAAGAAGTAGATAGAGAGAAAATGGGAACAAAGAGTGAGAGAGTAATGGAGAGAGAAGGAGAAAGAGAGTAATGGAGTAATAAATGACATATTGGCCTTTTTTTTTACAAAAATGCACTTAGAGTCAAATAAATTTCTTTAATATAGTTTAACTCAAACAAATTTAAATTTTTTACGACTTTCAAATTATTCATTAGCTTATAGGTTATTATTCTTTCCCGTGACTCCCATATCCAATGTTAAATTTGGTGGGCCAATCCCCATAGACTAATTAACTTAGCTCAGGAGAGAGGGCAAGAATGCTAAAGTCCAATCACAACTGCTTGGGAATGGAATGTAATATTTTGGACAGTAAATAAAAAATTAACAATGATTTTCAACTATTAAATTAAAATAAACATAATTTTAAGATAATCTCAACTGTGAAAAATTAAAGACATTATTTTTATCTTTTAAAATTTAAATTACCTTATCCAGTTATACTTTATTATACAGAGTTTTTGAACTTATATATATAATAAAATACAATTTAAATATCTAAAGATAACAAAATAATTTTTGTCTTTCGTAGTTGAGATATCTTTAAATTATATTTTAAATTTAATCCAACGGCTAATATTAATACTCCAAATTTAATAAAAAAAAAATAAGTCCCTAAGGATACATTTGAGATAATTTTTAAAAAGTTTTTCTACAATTTATAATTTCTCAAAAATACTTTTTTAAAAAAAGTAGTGTTTGGAACCTCAACACCACCACCACCACCACCATAACTATACCCACCACCACCATCATTATCGCCTCCGCCATTCCCTCCACTGATTACTACCTTCGTTGTCCACCGTCACCATCTATCATCATCAACATTTCATCTTATATTTATTACAACTACCACCATCATCCCACTATCATTTAGCGGTGTTCAAATTTTCGATTGACCGTAATTTTCTATCCTACTCGACCTTATCCTATCCTACTAAATGACTAGTCGCAAAAATCAAGTAAGAATGTGGAAGAGTTTTTGGTCTTCTGATTAAATCAAACAGGAATATGAAATACCCATCAATTTTGGCATTTCTACCCGCAAAAGATATATTTAAATTTTTTATATTTTCTTAATAATTATAAGAGTATTTGTGTGATATAATTTATATTACACAACATTGTTATTATTGTGGATGTTTAAATTGCTAAAACATGAACTTATTTTTTGTGTAGGTTACATAATTTGTGGTAAACTAGTGATCTATTAGAGCAGTTATGATTTTAATGTGTTTTATATAGTTTAAACTTAAAATAATTGTTATTATATTTTTGTAACAATTATGATGGGTTGATGTTCATTTTTTCTTGTATTTTATTGTAATTGTTGTTGTAATTGTTTTAGGTTTTTTTGTTATTGATTTATTATCTTGTTAAATTAGTGCATGTTATTTAATTAAATTGTTAAAATAATTCAAAAATTAATAGCTACAAAAGTGTTTACCCGACTTCCAACCCAATTAATAGGGTAAGAAGTCGAGTAGAAATACCACATATGATTGGATAGGGTAGGTCAAGAAAAAATTCTTCCATAAAGTATCAGATAAAAAGATAAAACACTATATTTTTTACTCGTAAGGTAGGGTGAACACCCTTACTACCACTGTCGCCCACTGTCAGCACCCCACCATCACTATTGTTGCCCACAATCACCCACCGTCATTACACCTATCATCGCCCACCAATAACACAATCTATTGTCACTCACCTTCACCACACCTATCACCACCACCACCATCGTCATTCGCCATCACTCATCACAGTGTCGCCCACTACCACCACCTCTGTTGTTACTCCACCACCACCATCATCATTCATGGCTATCACTATCATCATCGTCACCTAAATTCTTTTTGTCACTCTTCTATATTTGTGATTTAATTATTAATATAAATAAAAATACGTTTATTATTGACTATTTTTTTTATTACTTTATGACTTCGAACACAGATAATATCTAATACTTGGATATATTGTAATTTAATATTAATCATTAATTTGTATTATTCACAATCACTCATATTTAGATTATTACAACTCTTTTGAATTTATTATCACAATTAAATAACTCTACAGTAAAAAAAAATTCTATACTGAAAACGATCCATAAGAATTCCAAAAGGGCAAAACCACAAATCAACAAGAAGTGTCCGAGAGTCTGATGAAGAAAAGGCAGTGTTAAAGCCCAAAAGCCAATGACATGGTGGGTTACTGAAAAAGGTTGGTGCTAGTTTTTAACATCTCCGACAATTGCGATTTAAAACCTCAAAATCTTTTCCAGAAAGAGTTGAATTCTCTTCATGTGTAACCACGAAGAAATTTCATTTCATATTTGAAAAACATTACCAAATATATCCACAGTAATGCAAAGCCAAACGTTACTAAATCTATTTTTAATGGGTAAACAAAGATTGCATAAAAGAATAAATAAATATAATGTATCGGGCCTAGCGGAAAAAAAATGATTACATCCAGGTGAATATTGTTTTTGGGCAAGTCATTCTGGTGAATATTATATATTATTTCCACCAAAGAGAAGAGCAAAATTGCATAAGAAAAGCCTAATTCTACCCAATGTAATATAAAATTCAAGTATGAGATTTCTATAAAACGGCGTTTGTCATGGGAAAAACAAAAGCTTTAGAAACAGTAAAAATATAAAAAATACAGCTGATACGCGCACACACATTTATATATATATATATATATATATATATATATATATATCAAACCCTTCTTCGTAAATCAAATATGAAGCGAATAACAAGACACATCAGAGTAAGGGATGCATCAGACTCATGGAAATCGATCGTAATCGTACAGAAAGGGATGCATCAGAGTCATGGAAGTATGAGGAACAAACATCGCTCGCTTTGCGAGCTTCTCATATCCCAAAATAATCCTCGTCATTTGCATAACTTTAAAACTATGTTTTGCCAATCAACTGGCAATACAATAATCAGAGAGAGAGAGAGAGAGAGAGAGCGCGCGCGTTTAGACTGGACGGCTATGAGATTTCCAAATAGAATGTACAAATTTGGGTGGTCGTAGCGCTTTTATAGGTACAACTTAAACCCTAGTGCTGTGCCTATGACTATGTGGTTCGTTTGTTGAGGATCTTGGTCCATCAAGGCCTGTTCACTTACTCTAAGCCCAATTAAGGGATCAGGACCCATATTCATGTGACACAACAAGATAGGAATTATCGGCCCGCCCATTTATTATTGCTTTTTATCCCTAGGCCCATAAATTTATCATTGAACGGTGACATTATTTGTCAATGATTTCTTGTCATAAACTTGGGTTATTTTATTTATTTATTTTCTGCATTTCATGCACCCGAAAAAACTTGATTGACTCTAGGATTAGGATCTCTCTCTTATGATCTTACTTCTTTTTTTTTTTTTCTCCCATTTTGTTGTTTGGCAGATAGCTTAATATTTATTCTAGATAATTATAATGATTTATCTCTTTATTGGTCAGATAGGGTCTAATTATTAAATTAACAAAATATGGAGTGTGATTGACTAGCTAATGGAAGATTAAATGTAAAGTATGAGATTAAAAGAGATTAGCAATGGTGTTAGTATAAATAATCAAGGGTGGTGAGTCATAGAATACACTTTTCTTAACCAAAGGCCTCCTGAAATGCATACCACATAGCGCTATGTTCAATTACTACTAATAATATTTTTGGCCAAAATTACCAAAAAAAGCCTACCATGTAATCAAATCTTGCAAAATTGGCAGAATGACTGTTTGTACATGCTCATTTCTCTATCCCGAAAACCTGAACAACAATAACGCATTTTGCTACAAACAAGAGAGGAAAAAAAGGAACCAAAAAACCCCAAAAATATTTTGTTAAATAATTTACAGACTATTTCATATTCAACAAAATTAATTAAGCAAACTAAAAGTTCGGCTAATGGCTTCCACCTACTTTGTATATGTATGTATACTGGAAAACAGTTTCTCTGCGTGGCAGCCACAAATTAGTCTCCTCAGCCCACCCTTGATGAGGCAGAATGAAGGAAACAGTTGATTGTTGATACACAAAATTAATCTTCTACTCTATGTTTCTTAGATATTTTTGAACCCGGAACAAAGTCATCATATGATCCATTATTACAAGCTTTATATTCCATCGTCTACTTCTTGGACTGCTTTGACATAACTGTAGATTTAGATTCTGGTGGTGGTGTCGTCTTCTTCGTTGAAACAGGTGAGGAAGAGGAAGATGTTTTCCTTTTGACAAGAATAGTTTCAGCATTTTTCTTTACAATCACAACAGCTTTCATCGGCAAATCTAGCTTATGCTGTTGAATCCTTTTCTTTTTCCTCTTGAGAACTTTCTTTGCCACCTCCTTGGAGAGTAAACCAGACTCCATCATCCTACAATCACATTGGAGTCCACTTTATTTCAAAATCACAGCTGAACATACGTGATAGTGATCACTGATGCAAGAAACAAAGCTAAGGTAGCTCAATTGAATAAAAATATAGCAAGTCCTAGAATATTGAATGATAAAAGCTTTAAACAGATTTAAATTAAATTGAATACTAAAAGTTCAAACACTCAAATCAATTGAACATAAATGTTTCACATAATGTCTTATATGCACATATTATACAAAACATCCATCAACTTTGGTGAAAAGGATCAAAGAGTATATCAACAAGTGCTAGAATCAATCTACGAACAAAAGACATGCAGAGTATAGAACCTAACACTACGAAGGGCTTATCATTCACATGCCAAACATATTGAAAGAATCTTTTTTATTTGGGAGAATAAGAAAAATAGAATAATTTCTTACCAGAGAGCTGCCATTTCGCTATTGGGTGCTTGCTTATACAAAGTTTCATAGAAAATCCTCAGTGGGTATCTCTGGAAAAAAGAGAATTACGACACACCCATTACTGAAATAGTCCCAAATCAGATCAAACTAACACACACAACATAATTCAAGGAACGATTTAACATACTTCATCAGGAGGGTCTCGCGTCTGACCAGGAAAATCACACTCCTTCCTCTTCCTTTTCTTACGTCTCTGCTTAGCCTTTTTGGCCTTTTTCTTCTTTTACTCCTCCTTTTCCTCCATCTTCTTCTTTTTGTGCAACTTTAACCCCAACCCAAAACAAATTCAAGAGCCAAACAACAAGACAAAACATATATTAACAACCAAGGAATAATTTCTAAAACAGAGAAAATCCAAGATAGAAAAAGAACGTATAACAAACCTTATTAATATTGCTTGAGCCCTTCTTAGTGGTTGCTTCAAAAATATAGTCTGCTTCTTCTTTCTTCACTTTCCGTTCCTCTTTCTTCACTTTACCTTCCCTGTGGGGGCCAGAACTAGGACTGGCATGGTCGAATTTTTTCTTGCGGTTTTCAGACACAGGACCGAGGTTTTCTTTGTCTTCCTCAACCTCCTCTTTCTTTTCGTGCTTTGAATGTTCAGAATGCATTTTTTTTTAGAGTTTAAGTCGGGTAGAAATTGCAGAAAATGAATGAATTTGGTGATACTGTAAAAGCTCCGGAAGCAGAGTGAAGGAAGTAAGAGAGAGACAGAGTTTTGGAATGTTTTTGGATCCATATATGGGTGTGTCCTGGCGTCTCCAGAAGCTGAACCACACTGTGAGCTGGATTTTAGTAATTGGACCAATTTGTTTGGAATGCAAGCCTAATTATTTGGGGGCGTAAGCCCAATTTCGGACCAAGATCAAATTGGGCCAGAAGACATAAGACATAATCCCATTAGTTCGTGGGAAAATTACTATTTGATCCTAGCTTAAAAACCAACGGAACCAAATCCTACAAAGTTCCTCATGGATCACCAAGTCTTATTACTTTTAGATAATTTCCAACTACCCTTATAACCAGAATAGAATTTGATGGGATTTTTGTCTGATCAAGGGAAATGCGACACCTGTCCTCGACATCGTAGTCACAAAATGTTCTTTGAATGACACATATTCTTTGAATGACATGTGTCTTGGACATTTTGTCCGTAGAGTGTTATCTGAATGACACGTGTTTTTGACATGGTTGGCCGAAGTGTGTTCTTTGGATGACACATATCCTCGGCATCTTATCTGCAAAATATTCTCCGAGTGACACGCGTCGTCGACATAAAGCCATTCGCTCCAGTGGGACATGGACAACTATTTCAAAAGTTATAAACCGCCAAATGATGATGTTAAATTCTCAAAGAAAAAAGGAGAGGATAGCTAATGCAAGCATGCCCACGAATGAGGTCAAAGCAGAGTATCATTACTTGGGAGTGAGGTTGGCTATCAATCATCAATCACCCTTCCCAAGGCAGTCAGATGGTTGCAAAGACAGTTTAGCAACCAATGAGAAAGACGTACAACGCACAAGATATGTAATTCCTGACTCTTTGGGGGGTGATGGACGAAAGTGCTCCTATGCGTGTGCAGCCACAACCAAGGCTCATGAAATGACCCCATAGAAAGATGAGACATATTTATTACTCGACAAAATCATAAAAAAGTGAACAGTAAATGCTCGGGAATCCAAGCATTAAATTCAGAAACTTCTGTCATGTGAAAAGGAAAGCGCTCTGCTCAAGGTCTGTGCACCACGTGTTGTCCTCCAAAACGGCCAATGAGGAGCCTTCCCTCTAAGAGATCCAACAGTCCGTAATGATTAGCTCCTGACAGGTATAAGTAGCACTCTAAAATTCAAATATAAAATACGCAAAATCTTTACCCGAATAATAAAACAGTGTTTTCCAAACCTTCTCTCATATACTGACTTGATCGTCAGAGGAATTACACCCTTCTAAACCATCTTTTTAAGTGATATGACTGTTTTCGAGGACTTACGAATAAGTAAACCATTTACAAAAAACTTCATCTTTCATCACGATTTCTCAACATCAATTTGTTACGGAACATTCGACTTTTCAGGTAAATTTGAGTTTATCATGGGAGAAATTTGTCAATTTATTCATTGTGCCAAAATCATCACACACCGTATTCATGTTAATAGTGGTAACCATTGCTTCCCATATAAGTATAAGTGACTCTTAGAAAGGATGCCATGAACACAACTATTCGAACTCAACACAAGACAAGTTCCATGCGAAAATGATGACTTTTTAATATGTAGATGAGTTTTGGTAAAAAAAAAAAAAAAAAGGTAGATGAGTTAGAAATATAGAATGTAACAATTGAGGAATAAAGTGTCACGTGTGATGATATGGACAATTGAAGATCGAGTTAAAAATTCAAATTCATGTTTTAGGTTAACCCTTCACCCGTCACATTTATTATTGGTTGCTTAGACACAACCGCTTGTGCGTAATTTGGGAATACTTTTGTAAACTCGGGGAATTTATTTATTTATTTATTTGGACTTGAATGAAATGGTTTTCACCACCGATGCATACCAAATACCAATCCTTCAGAAAGGGAAAATGGTACATCATAAAAAATTCCTTAATAAAAGAACTACCATACCCAAGCATTTTGGGCTGCCCTTTCACTAGCATCCATTAAAACAGCAAGCTCTATTAAAAATAGATATACACTGAAGTTAGGATGAGCATATGTCATTTTTCTTGTGATTACATGATAATTTATACGACATCCAGGACAAAAAAAAAACAATAGACGTAAAACATAAGCAGTTGTGAAGCTTGAGAAACATATACGGCTGCTCTCTTTGATAAACAGCAAGGAGGAGATCAAATACCACCACGCGGGGATAATTTCTTCAATTTTGGTGGCTTAAAAGTTGAGGAGAACAATGTAGCCTCTGGAGTGAGAGTTCTGTTGATTGCTTTTCTCTTTGAACTTCTACGTCCCTGTAAAAGGTCAAGTTGAAATTTAATAAATATATCCAACCATAATACAGTACAAAAGATATTCGTTGATAATGTCCGTGGAATGGCAAAGGCACACTGTAGTGAACCATCAGACTTCAAAATATAAAAATGCCCTTTATATAATATTCCAAGTGGTCTGGAATTAGAAGCTTCTGACCACCCATCAAACTTTGCAAGTATGCTCTCAGATTTCAAAAATAAATCTGCTGAAACGATAATCCACACCATGAAAGCTTGGACATAACTCACTAAACGCAATACAATATCAGATGATCATGGACATAGAATTTCATCTTTCCACTCTCAAAACAAGAATAACTGGTTGGACCAATGAGCTAAAATATTCTCTCATAACTGCAAACTAACTTCGTAAAGCAACTAGTCAATTCACCCCAACTAAAAGTGTAGATTATAATATCACACTTGCATGACCTCAAACGAAAGTATCAAGTGCCTGTTGCCAACTAAAAATTTCATTTGTAAAGTAGCACTTAAATGAAACCTAGGAAAGTATCCTCAAAGTACCAAGTGCTCCAATTCACTAAAATGGAACCAAGGGAAGTATCATCAGAGTGCTAAGTGCTCCTATAGCGCTTAGCAATCAAGCATCAAGCGAAGAACGTTTAAATCACTAAAAGCCCACCTTCCTATGCTTATTAAAAAACTCCACAAAACTGCTAAGATCACTATTACCAAAGTAATCACCAGAATTTCTGGTTAATGACAAATTAGACGTGATAGAGAAACTAAAAATGACAAACCAACCGTTATGATCCCCAAAGCACTGAAAAGAGATTTGTTAAATAAAATTGATTCTTTGTATGCACCGGAACTAAACATATTGTTAACAAAGCACTTACAAAATCAAGCTTTCAGGCCCTATTATCCCTGAGAGGCTCAGCAATGGGCTCATCATAATGTTCCAAACTCATTTACAAGATTTTTGTGCAAGTGTTGCATAATTATTTATATTTGCACGAACATAAGTGATTTTCTACCAGTTTTTGTCCTGGAAAACTTCACAGAAGTGCACCATGTAAACATAATAAAAACAGCTAAATAATTTCACATGTGATACTGTCCAACATGGGTACTGGCCACAATATCCTATGCCAATAGGTGTGACCTGAGATACTAATACCTGAACATACCTACGGTCATATTTATTAAAGCCAACAGAAAATTGAAAGAAACTATTATGGGCGCTGCAACAATTTTTGCTAAGATGTGAATATATGACAGAAGAGCAAACCACCACTCACACTTTTATGGCACAACCACTGCATGTTGTGTACACAGTAGTGTTAACCATGCACTGTACAAACAGTGCATCCAAAGTATAAGCACTGTTTGAAAGTGTCACATGCATATGAGGTAGGTCATCTTAAAAAATGCATGATTTACTGCACATATTACAGTCTGCCGAAAAACACGCAGTTATTAGGTTTGTTGTATTCTTCATATTGCACCAAACTCTCTTATGCATGCAATAGTTACTCAAAATCAATAGCTTGAAGGGAATTCTGGGGTAACAATCCATAAATAATGCTCAAACCAAAGTAACTCAAACATTATCAATGGTTTTTGAAAGAAAAAGTTCTGTTGAAATGCATGAACATATAAAATCATCCTCTACAAAATTTGATACAAGCGCACAGTGCAAATTTAGTAAAAGAATGTCTGCCATTCTCACTGATGAGCCAAAATCAAGTCACATATGCACTGGATAAACTCATGCTCTACATGTATCATGAAACAAACTACTATTTCAATAATGCAGCTCTTAAGAAATGATCATATAACAATTACCTTTTCAGAGACTTCTGAATAATATGATTCTTTCTTCGTAACTACTTTTTCATCAAACCCACTGCTCTTGCTTCCCAGAAAAGATTTCCTGGGTTCTGCCATGCACCGACGTAGCACTGGTGTCACAAGGACACTTCTTGACCTACTTCGCAATTCCAATTCATTGGAGAGTCTGGATATTTCTTCATTCTTTTTAAGTAAGTCGGCCTCCAGTTTAGCCATGCTAGTTTTCAATGTTACAATTGTATCATCCTTTTCGGTGTTTGACCCCTGTAACTGCTCCATGTTAGTCAGTAGTGTCTGTATCATCTCATTCGCATGTGTAACTTTGGTACGGGTACTTCTTAACTGATCGGTCAAATTGCTCTCCATCTTGTTATATTGGTTCCACACAAAATTTCTCTCTAAAAACAGAGCAGATATCTCAGGATTATTCTCCGAACTATGCTTCTTATTCCCATTTTTAGGCCTCTTAAATTCACTTTCCATTGCCTTACTTCGGTGCTCTTTGCCCTTGCTCTGAGCAGTCTTCAATGTATCCTGCAAATCAATGAACAACAACTCTTGATTCCTGTATCAAAAAAAATTAACAAAAGTTTCAAAATTTTGCTGTCGAACATACTGTTGGCTCAGACAACTTGTGAGAGAGGAGGTCAAACCATACTCTAAAATCTGATAATTCACTGTCTGCATTATCTGCATCATTAGGACAAAGAATTCAGCGTTCAAAACAAACAAGCAAACCCTGCATTATAACTGATGTCAAAATCCACAATCTCCTATCTCCAAACAACTGAAAAATATATGTTTATCTGAAAAAATATATGATTTCAAGATAGTGTGGGGAAAAAATTCTCATCAAAAGCTTGGAAAGAACACATAGTCAAGTTTCTTGTATTTCAGCAGCACTGTAAGTTCGTTGGCCGTGGTGGCATGATGATAAGTTAAGGTGACACCTTGCACCCATGCCAATGAGACTATTCACGCATATGTAGTGATATTGCCCTGCAAGGCTGCAACATTTACTATGGCACAACAAGCAGGCAGAGATACAGCAAAAAACAGTGCTAAAACAGATTTTCCATGTTCTTTTCTTTCCTAATAAAAATTGAAAATCTTGCCCCATCTTTTTAATTTAGTTCCAACTATGATTACTAAAAAAAGATTTTAATGCATCAAATCACATGGAAAGACATAAATTTTGGACTCTTTAATCCAAATTATCCAGTTCTTTTCACCCAATTTCCCAAAAATGGAACAAAACCTAAGCGAATGGGTAATGAAACCCCCATTCACAAGAAAAAGAGACTAACCTAACTTAAGCTTGCACATAAAAGCCTCTCTTTGCTTCGAACCTATAATCAAATCCGACTTCGCTGCCTCAACCATGCTTTCCATCTCTTGCACAGTAAGATCCCTCTTCATCTACACAAGAAATTAAAAAAAAAAAAACCCTAAAACCAACAAAAAAAACCCTAATTTTACATCAAAATAGATTTCTATATTCAATTGAGTGAGGGATTACCTGAGAGATTTGATCTTGAAATAGCTTAACGTCGGATAACCACCGTTCATACTGTGATTTGATTCTATCTTCAAGAAGCTTTCTCTCTGTCGCGAGATACTCAAGCTGTGTGTGTTGCGTTTGCAACATGTGTACAAGAGCGTTGAAGATCTTGTTCCATTTTTGCCGATCCGTATAATCGTTACCAGAGTTTTTGCGCGCTCCCATTGTAGGAATTATTGAAGAAATCTGCGAAAATATCACTAGGGTTTCGGAGTTTCAGAGAACAGTAGAGAATAGAGCAAAATATGACCGTTTGATGCAACAGTGGCTTGCCGTAGGGTTGGAGAAAATTCAAAAGTGGCTAAACGGTCGGCTAGTGGCGACTTTTAAAGACGGACGCCTGAGTCTCCTGACATATGCTGTTGTTGATTATTGTCGTCCACTGAGTTAGGTACAAATGGTCGATCTTGGTACTATCTTGCAACAAAATATGTCATACCTTAAAATTAAGGTGATACGGTTAAGTGATTTGACAGATTAGGACAAATTAAGACAGTATGAGAATATTCGGTTGAACATGACAACACGTAGTGGACTCAATTGAAGTAATGTGGATGCATAACTTCGGATTACATGGCATGGGTTGAACCCAGCATGCACATTGATTCGTGTAGTCAGGTTGACTGTTGAATGTGGGCACTTGACTGACACATGCTTGTTCAATGCATGTGACCAGGAAGATGTGAACGGTTATGATGTTGAGAGACAGTCAAGGCAGTTAATGAGACAGTTCTGAGCATCCCTAGTCTGAATCCAGTCTAGATGCATGCTGATGAAGAGCAGTTCCACAGCAGTTACTAGAAGTGGTGGAATTGCCTGCCAAGTGTCCCACGAAAACCAAGTCTGCTAGTCAGTATGCTATGGAATAGCAAAAACGTGTGTAACTATCCCTCAGCAGATGGGGTGTCATCTGCCTTACTTCTGTATAAATAGGGGTGCTTGAGCATTCTGATGAGTAAGAGAGTGTTCTGGCTTTGAGAGTCCTTGTAAATTGTTGAGTTCAATATATAAGGTTTGAGAGTTTTGTCCCAGTAAACTTGTGTGTGCCTTCTATGTGAGTTTCTGTTCCTTATTCTTGAGTTTGAGTGTGGCTGATTGTAGTAGCAACGTCTTCACAGGTAGCCTCGAAAGAAAAACGAAAGTTACCCTGTGACAATTATGGATTAAGTAATTTTTAGGGTTAATTGCACCGGTCTCCTTTCTCTTTTCTAATATTTGAATTTATTAAATATTAAATATATTTTTATGTGATTACTTAAACAAACAACTTTTAAATCATTAGCGATTTTTTATTATAAACTGGCCACGTAATACTTAAATATGAAAAAAAAATTAAATAATTCTTGACTAAATTTCTATTCAAATTTTGGTAAAAAATCTACTAAAATTGCACAATTTTAATCATGAGTTATCCAAATTTTGATCAATAACTACCCATATTACATATTTTTGGTCAAGAGCTACTCAAATTTTAGTCAAAAGCAACCCAAATTTTAGTGAAGAGTTATTCAAATTATTTTTTGTCTATATTTATGTTTCACGTGACAAGTTTATGATAAAAAATCGTTAATAATTTAAATGTCTGCTTGAGGAACCACATAAAAACATGATCAATACTTCGTGAATTAAAATGATGAAATTAAAATATTATGAATTAAAATGAAACAAATTCTATATTTTGGAGACCACCAATATAATTAACCCTAATTTTTAATTACAATAATTTTATTTGATATAGATATAATTTACGCCTAATCGATCTCAACCATTAAATTAGTTATGGTCCGAATAAAGACTGCGTCATTATCAATTCAATGGTTAGAAATGATTAAATTAATAAATTAGATTTAAATAACATTGTTTTAGTGCTTTTCTAGGCCCCTCCAATAAAACTGATAATTGAACCGAACTACTTGGAATCAGCTCGAAGAGGATTGAACTCAAGCTCGTGTTCTAAATGAGTTGAACGTAAATAATTTTTTACGTTCATTTAAAAACGAGTCTAAAAAGCTTGACTTGAACTCTTAAAATTGAGTTTGTTTATATATAAAATAATCAAATTATTCAATTTAGGTTTGGCTTAGGCTCGACTCATTTTTTAAATGAATTGTGTTTGAACAATTTATTAAATTTATTTTAAAAAAATGAGTTCGGCTTGATTGACCGTCCTAGCCACTGTTTTGTATTGGTTTTGGGCCTTCTTCTCCTAACTCTAGGACATATCCAGTAAACTCAATTGACGGCCCTTGGCGGCCATTAAAGTAGTTGCCCTTTGGGCCTGCCTTGGATTGTAGAGGCCTGGTGACTGAAAATAACTTCACTAGGCCGCAGCAAAAATTACATTAAATAATTCGACAAAAGTAAGAAACACATTTACTGTTCGACGGAGCAGAGAATGACACTTGGGGTTCCGAGTGCAAACTTACAAAAACACCTGGTGCGGAGAAAAGCAGACGTTTTGATCGAGGTCTGCACGCCGGATGTTGTTTCTTGTATGAACCAACTAGGAACTTTTCTTCTAAGGGATCGACTTTCTACCTCAGTAAATTCCTGTAAGATATAAATAATACACTAAAACTCAAAACAAATGTATACAATCCCTTGTCTAAGTAATACAACAATGTTCTCAAATTCTCTCTTGGATACCAACTTGAGCGTCGAATACTTCGGCACCCTTCTAACCATTCTTTTTTAAGTGATAGGTCACTGTCGACTATTGTGAACTTTTGTAAGAATAGAGTGTTTACGGAAGAGGTTTTTGCTACTGTTCATTACCCACCGTTCCTAAGGTCTTGCTCGCAACTCCATGGTTATTGACCGTTAGAAACACAAGAAGTGTTCCGTTTAGAAGACGTTCCAGACCGATGCAAGCTCACCAAAAGAGATCTGTCTTCTCATTTATTATGTAAAAATCACCCGCACAACTAGCTAAGAGGGGTGTTGGCAATTAATCACCTATACATGTGGCCTTTGGGTTTCGCAGCATGTGCTATTAGTTTTGTAACAACAGTGATGCTCTTCTTTCAAACGAAGTCATTTCATATCAAAATAATATTATTTTATTAAATAAAATAATATAATTTAAATATAAAACGACGTCGTTCTTAAAAACAACGCTTAATTCATTGTACATCAGAAAATTTGAATTTGTGGTTCTTGTACGGCCGGAACCGTTCCTCCAAGATAATTGTATGCAGTGCATAATACATGGTACTAAAAGATGAAATTCCAAGGTTGACCTAACTTTCCTATTATCTGCATGGTTGGTGCCAGATTCATAGAGCAGGTTGTTCCTTCATCAAAAGGTAAAATCTAATAATTCCTTCAATGTCATGCAAGTAGAGTCGGCAGAACAGTGACTACGATTTGATTTGCCTATGACTGGTGGCTTTCAGATTTTTATGTTTGGACGTGTGTGGATTAATTGATTGATCTCAATTCTCAGCTGGTCGATCGATCTTTTGTTGAATGCAGCTAAACCATAGCTGGCCTGGCCTCTTCATTCCAATTTCAAATTGGTTCATACATCGGTATCATAAAACTATGATATGATATGATATGATGTTTAACAACCTGCATTCACACACTTCTATTTTGAATGGATATATCCGTGACATATTTCACTTAATTGTTCTACGACTGTTCGAGTGGGGCATTGCATTTTGTTGGATTTTATGATATTTGAGATCCGTCTATGTCAAAAAAATCATTTTTAACTTTGGTTTTAAATTATTTATAACTATTTATTACAAAAACAATAAAATAAAGTGGAAAAGATAAAATGAGGAGACTTTTATTCATTAGATAAACATAACCAATTATTTGTAAAAATGTTGAAAAATAATCGTATGATATCATAATTTATATACCTAACCCACCACCTTCTTGATTATTATTATTATTTGAGCTTTCATTTGGAGTTAAACTATAAAAAATTTATTTATCATGGATACTTTAATCCCAACTTAAATGGTTTATCTTTAACTGAATTAAAAAAAAATTAGTTAAAAAATGCGCTTAAGTTGAAAACGAGATTTTTTACCCTTTCCTCGTTAAAAACAAAAAAATTCAATTAAGGACAAATTAAGCGATGGGAATGTCTCATCATCGCATGGGCCCCACCCAAATTCATTGCTCTTTCTTTCTCCTCTTAAATATAGCAGCACCCTTCCTAACATTTTACAAATTAGCTCCAAATTATCATACAGCCATGGCCATCTCCAAATTTCTGATTGCTTCTCTGCTCCTATCTCTTCTTGTTCTCCACTCTGTAGAAGCTGGTTTTATGGTAAACTATTATCTTTCCTTATTTCTTTCGTTTATAGTTTTGTTTTTTTCACTACATGTACATAATATGTTAATTCCCGTTAATTCAAAATTCTATTTGTACGTAGGAGTTACGGACAACAATTACTGGTGCCAAGAATACGCCTCCGAAAAAAATAGGTAGACACATGTTCATATTCCAAAATCCCATTCGTTAAATTATTTAAATGCTTAAAGTTTTAGACTAGTTGGTTAAATCTTGTCACCGAATTTCATGTGTCTAGTTTAAAATCTACCGTGATTGCATAATTTTGTTTTGAATTGTTCGATTTTCTTTTTCTCAGATTGTGGTGGAGCTTGCGTTGCCAGGTGCCGGTTATCGTCGAGGCCAAACCTGTGCAAGAGAGCATGTGGGACTTGCTGTGCCAGGTGCAACTGCGTTCCACCGGGTACCTCCGGTAACTTGAATGTGTGTCCCTGCTATGCCAACATGACCACCCATGGCAACCGACGCAAGTGCCCTTAAAAAGTCACTTCGTTTTGGTGCTTCCAAGTTCCAAGCAATTATAACGGTTATGAGACTGCAAAGGTTTATAATAAGGAATACTGATGTTTAAAGCTTTAGACATGATTGTGTATGCCTTGCCGTACTTAATAATGGAAAAATAATATTAATAATGGAATAATAATACTGTGTGTGTGTATGTGAATGTGTTAGACATAGAGATATTGTTATCTAATCCTTATCTCTAACAGAATGAAAGCTTTGACCGAATCTTTTTGGGGGTATTTGGACTTTTTAACCAATGGGAAAGGCCATGAACTTGAGGAATTTGCGTGTTCAAGTTAAAATTTTGATAATATTTTAGGGTTAAATTATTGATGATTTATCTCTTATGAATATCTTAATTTTGGCGTGATTAATTTGTTTTTAACTAAACTGGAGAGAGAATCAGTTAAGGTGCGTGTAAACTAGTTCGAATATTTTTGACATTTGAATAAAATAAATAAATAAAATTGTGGAATAAAACTTTTTGACAGAGGCATGAGTAACCAGTACAGAATAAGGATAGACCAAATTAAATTGATATTATTGTTGGGTTTAAGAATATTGGATAAAATACAGCCATGTTCATGAAAAATAATTTTGAGCAATTTGAACAGAATTGAAAAAGACTAAACTTCTCTTCAACAACAAAGATTTGATGAGATCAACTTTGATGAAACAGGAAAATTTGAAGGGGAGATTATGAGACTGAAAAGATTGGTAATGAGGACTGTCGTTTAAAGCTTTTGACACGATTTTGTGTGCAATAATATTTCTCAGACTGGTTTTTCGTACTAATTTTTTCTTGTCCAGTGGTGTTGCATAATCATAACTGATGGAACACTTTAGAGAGTCACTCAATAGTCAATACGTGTTCTTGACATCGAAAATGTGTAGAGGCAAATAAGACTAACACGCGTTCTCGACATTCTTTCTTTCAGCATCAGAGGATTCTCAGATTCATAAGAGATGGACATGTGTCTTCGATGCGAAGGTACCTTAGACCATACAAGACGGACACGTGTCCTCGGCACTAAAGGTACCTCGAACCTGTACGAGTTGGACACGTGTCCTCCGCTCCAATATTTTCTCGACGTCATACGCGAATGACACGTGTTCTCGACACAAGGGTTCTGCAAAATTCCTACGAGCGACACGTGTCCTCGGTGTGATTGACCCCCCTCCCCTGAGAACTATTTTTGGACACATCATCTCGACTTCGGAACCCCGAAACAGAGGTATCAAAATAACAGTTATCGTTACTTGGAGTTAAACTTGGTTAATAATCATTAACTTCTCTTCCCAAAATAGTCAGAATTGACAAAGGGAATAGACCCACACCCAATGACTATGTTACACGTTGTAAAGTGCGTAGAATCAGGGGCCAAAAGATGAAGATGTTCCTACTCATGCGCAGCCATAACAGGAAATCATTTAATGATCTCTCAGAAGGATGTGACGCAGTTAAAGCTCAAAAAGCCCAAAAAAGTAGAGCATTAAGTGCTCGGGAGCCCGAACATTTAATGTTTGAACCCCTTCCACGCAAAATGGAAGGTGCTCTATCCAAGGACTGAGCAATGCTCACTGCCTTCCAAAGGGACCAATGGGGGACTCCTTCTTCAAGGGGTCCACTTGCCAGTAATTATGATTTTCATGAAAGTATAAATAGTTCTTTGAAATTCAAAGCAAAGGTATGCAAAAACTCATACAACAAAACAGTGTCTTCACCCTTCTCTCACACATAGGACTGTTATTCAAACTGAGCTACTCAAGCTTGACTTGAGTTCGGCTCGGGTTCAGTTCGTTCAGGCTCAATTCATTTTTTAAACTAGCCCAAACTTGAACAAGTTTTTAGGCTCGTTTAGAAAACAAGCCCTACAAGCTCGGTGCAAACTTAATAGACTCGACTTATTTATGTGCAAATATTTGGGCTCGACTCGAGCTCGACTTGTTTTTTGCTCATTCAAGCTTGACTCGTTTCCTAAATGAACCGAACTTGAACAATTTTTTAGGCTCAATAAAAAAACAAAATTTTCAAGGTCGGCTAGGGCTCGTTCGACTAATAGCCCTATTCACACATTCTGACTTGACCATCAAAGGGGTAACACCGAAAAATACTCTGGTGCCCTTCTAAGTCTCTCTTTTGAGTGGCAGATTCCCTTTTGACTCGTCGGAATCGCGTGAACAGCTGAAAAAATAATTCATCACCACTCTTTACGATCTTTCTCGCTTCCTGTTGCCTCGGGATTCTCAACTTTAAGGTAAATCTCATTTTTTCCAAAGGAGAGATCTGTCTTATTTTTTTATTGTGCAAAAATCATCGCATACAATAACTATCGAATTTTCATGGGATTCAAAAAGACCTACTAACTTTTTTTTTTTTGGGTCAAAAAAGACCTACTAATTCAAGTATAAGAAAATTTGATAAAATATTGAACACTATAATCTTATTGTTATGTATGTTCTATAGAAAGGAAATCAAACTTATTTTTAGGCCTTTTTTTTACCTCTATGTGTGTTGTTTTTGGTTTTTTTTTTTTTTGTTGTTGTTGTTTGGGGGGGGGGGGGGACCAAGGCGGAGAAGGCTAGTTTGTGAGTTGTAAGCTTGAATACTTATTCAGTTAATGACCCCTTGAAACCTTAGGAGTGGTTCAGTGATTAGGTATGTTCTTTCATAATCCAGACTCTCAAATATTTCAGGTTCAATCCCTTCCTGCACCTCTTAAGGGTTAGCCACCTTTGTCCTTTTGGAGACTTGTTCTAGACCAACTCAAGCTACAGTGGTCAGTCGCTGAATTCGAGAGAATAGTCGACACAAACTTAAATACTCTGTTGCAAAAAAAAAAAAAAAGCCCCCGAAGCCACCACACCCCTCCACTCGGCAATCTCTACAATTTCACAATACCTAGAAGACAAAAATCAAGGCACACAAGCATCCAACATTTCAATGATTAAAAAAGGCAATCTAATTTACAAGGCTCTTGTCAATGCGGTGTCAAAAGAGAATTAGGTGTTTACAATCTTATCTCGTATACGAAAAAATTACTTTTGCGATTTAAACTCACTTAATTTATAGTAGAACCGTCTTAGCACTACATCTACACCAAGGTCCACCCTCATCTAACATTTCTATGATACAGTATACATTCCAATCTTCCTGTTTTTGCTGTTACAAGAGTTGAATCCCTTGTCCATCTCAACTCATGTCAAGTGGATGGACGTGTTATATGACTACAACTACAACTACAACTAAACATGAACGTAAGGCAATTGGTTTTTTGGTTACTTACTTTTAAGTTGGACCACTCAATATTTTACTTTGTTTTATATCATTGGCTTTGAGGGGATTGACCATACAAGAAGTCTCCTATCTTATTGATTCCAATCATTCGGCCCACTGCTATGGCATTTGATTCCATTCTTTGCTTTATGAAGGAGTTGGGGACACTCTTCGAATGGCAGATATGACATTGTCAGTTATTCTCCTATAATTTTTTATTTCACAATACTATGATTTCAAACTTTTTATTAAATTACTCTTAATTTTATAAAATTATGTTTCAAAAACACACTTCTACACAATAGTCGTGTTCTAGAAACATTCTTTTAATGTTTTTTACACCACAGATCGATTTATCAATTATGTCAGGTGAGGTGAATTCGTATTAGTTCTTAGCGAGTTTGTGTCAATTTATACTCAATTTATTTATTAATTCGTGTCTCAAGAATTGTGTCATATCAGATTCGTATCGTATATGAATAAAATTAGTATATAAACAAATCGTATTTGTATATTTATTTTAATTCACTCAACTCATACTAAATTCGTTTATTAATTATATCGTGTCAGATCTCCTATTTTACGAAATGAGTGGTTTAAGGATGATTCAAATCTTCTAATTTTATATCTTATTAATAGATCATATCATATTTTAATATCTCTAACTATAGACCCCAAAGGTAATCTGAACTAGAATAAATTTGGAACCATATTAAGCCTAATACCTGGTCTATATCGACTCACATATCAAGTATATGGACACATATTATATGACTAACTACGAAACATGAACACAAAGCAATCGTTTTGTAGGTTAGTTTCAAGTTGGGCCACTCGACACAAGTCGAATGTCAGTGCTTCCAATCATTAGGCCCAGGGTAAAGAAGAATGGTCTAATAGTTGGTGTTTCCCTCGCCTTGCCTTTTACTGCAAGGTGTGAGTTTCGTCAAGTCCTTTTCACTTGTATGGATAGTAATAAAAAAAAATGCTATGCAAATAAAAAATTTTCTTAAAAAATATTTTTACTAGCGCTATATCACTTTTGGATCCATCAAATGCTGATCAAAATATTTTTGATTGGATATAGGAGTATTCACCCTACCCTACAAGTATGAAATATATTCTTCCGTCTTCCTATCCGATACTTTGCGAAAAAAAATTTTTTTTGGCCTACCCTACTCGATCAGGTGTGGTATTCCTATCCAACTTCCTACCTGATTAATCAGATATGAAGTTGGGTAAACATTTTTGTGGCTATTAATTTTTGAATCATTTTAACAATTCAATTAAATAATATGCACCAAATTAACAACACAATAAATCAATAACACTAAAATCTAACACAACTACAATAACAATTTATAAGAAAGTATGAACATCAATCCATCATAATTGTTACACAAATACAATAACAATTATTTTAAATTTAAACCATATGAAACACATTAAAATCATAATTACTCCAATAGATCACTAGTTCACCACAAATCATGTAACTTACACAAAAAACAAATCCATATTTTCGCAACTCAAACATTCACATCAATAACAATGTTATAATATAAATTATACCACACAAATACTCTTATAATTACTAAAAAGAATATAAAAAAATTAAATATATTTTTTACTGGTAGAGTAGGATAGAAATGCGAAAATTGAAAGGTATTTTGCATTCTTACCTGATTTTTGCAGCTAATCGCTCAATAGGATAGAAAATTGCAGTCAATCAAAAATATGAAACATCCATAATTGGATATGAAGTTGCCAATTTATTTAATAAAAGTATTTTTCGGTAGAAATTTTGGCAAGCATAATAGCATTTCTAAAAAAAGTGATAGTGCCCACTTTGGCATTCGATTTCGTTCTTTGCTTTATTAAGGACTGGTGTCCACTCTTTTAACTCCGTAGCCAAAGTAATAATTAGAATGAATTTTAAATTCAGATATTTTGAATTTGAGTTTTGATAATATTTTTGGTTCAAGTTATAAATAATTTATTTTTTATTAATCGCCTAATCCCAACGTGGATGACT